CTTTCCGATAGAGCCCTTTCAAAGATTCCGTTGAACCGGATCCATGATTGGCGATCCGCTGGTTACGCTTCCGTTTTATCCGCTCCATGGGACAGTAGGACCCGTTTGGCGGCGTACTGAACACACGCACACAAACACGCATGTGACGCATGCACCTAAAAGGGCAAACGTAATAATAACCTCCAAAGTGAAGCCAGTTGTATGGCAAAAAATGGATTCCGAAACAGTACTGCTAGCCATTTTCTATTTTGTGAAAAAATTTAAACAAAGTTATAGTATTTTTCGTCGACAAGAATTGCGACGTAAAATATTGTTATTGTATGCACTGTACGTAATTGCTATAAACGAAGAATCTAAAAAAGAACGACAATATTGGGTGCGTCCTATATTTACCGTACAACGGCGATTATTACAAGAAGCAAAAGTGATAATCTCGTAATTGAAATGGAGACTGAAGACGAAAAAAAATTTGTCAATTATTTCCGAATGAATCCCATCTTATTTCAAGAATTACTCAAATTAGTCAGCCCATCCATTGTTAAACAACATGTTGTTCGAGAGCCAATTCCTCCTGAAACACGTCTGCAAATTACGCTTCGATATTTAGCATCAGGAGACAGCATGACATCGATCTCATATGCCTATCGAATTGGCCATAATACTGTATCAAAGATCATATCAGAGACCTGCGAGGCAATATGGAATGCTTTGAAGGAGACATATTTTATTGATGACAGTCCAGAGAGTTGGCAAGAAATTGCCGACAAATTTCAGCAACTTTGGAACTATCCGAACTGTATAGGATGTATTGATGGAAAGCACGTTACATTGCAGGTATATAGAAAGACTTTTTTTATTATGAATTTTGATACAGGCGCTTCAATACTACACATTTATCATATGACCAATTTGTTATAACAAATGTTAGTCGAAGAATGTGGGTACTTATTGTGGACTATCTCTTATTATTAATGTTCGACGAGTAATAAAATATATGTAATTTGTCTTACAGGCTCCGGCAAATAGTGGCTCGACGCATTTCAATTACAAAGGACACCACAGCATCAATCTGTTAGCGGTTAGCGATGCAAAATATCGATTTACTATGGTCGATATCGGTGCGGAAGGTAGACATAGTGATGGAGGAGTTTTTAAAAATAGTGAAATGGGAAAATGTTTCGAAGAAGGTACATTCAAGCTGCCAAATATGAAGCCTATCGAAATTGATGGACCAGCACTGCCTTATGTGTTGCTAGCGGATGAGGCTTTTCCACTGACAACG